AATCATATGTATTTATTTTAAATTATTAATGCTCTAATTTTATTTAATAGCTCATTAAGCAATACAGATCTATCCGTGGGACTACAGCTTCAAAGATTCGTGACGTTATGTTTTCAGTTTTTGGTGAAGGATTACTCGATATAATCAACACCAGTGTATCAGCCACTGAAATTATGACATGGAAGCAGTTACGCAAGACAACCGAATATTACAATAATCTTCACAAACTTTTGGAAGGGGAGAATCAGAGCATAATGGCATGCATTCTCGAAAAAGTTTGGCCAAAAGGAGACCCCTCCACTGAACAAATGGCATTTGCTATCGCAATTTGCCAATCTGTTCTAAATCCGCATAACGAAATAATTACTATAATGAAGTAGTACTAAAAGTGAAAATTAAGAAATATAAGGTAAGCTTCGAAGTTCTTTGAAGGTCTTTGGAAACATAAAACATTTACTAATATATATTTTTAGAAAAAAATTATAAGAGGAATCGGATTCGCGAAAGGAGATTCTAGTGACAAAGACAGATTTGATGACGAATCAATGAGTGATAATAGTGAAATAGAAGTTCTAAAAGTTCTGAAGGTATCTGAAAATAATGAAAATGATCCAGAATCAAATGATAAAAATTTATTATTGAAGAGAAATCCTTCGGCAATGAACATAACAAAAAAATAAATATGTAATGCAAAATAAATTTAATAAATAATCTTTAAATATAAATAATTATTTTGAATAAAATTTTTAATAATATTTATAATAATTCAATATAAACATATTTTATTATATTTAAAATTTTTCAATCATCTCTGGAGATTATATAAAAAATTTTTGATATAATCTCCGGATATTTTCAAAAAATTTTTTCGATTATCTCCAGAAATTATATATGTAACTTTTACTCCGGAGACTTCTAATGATGCCGGAAGTCTTTTAGAGATTTACATCCAAAGATTTCTGGAGATTTTCACCTAAAAAATTTTCTGATGAATTTTTTGAAATAAGAAGTTACTTCTATATCCTAGAGGCAAAGTCATATATATCCTATAGCCAAGTCAAAACCTTGGAATTGTGACCTTTTAAATATGAGACCTATCATATTATTGAAAGCTACTAGAAAGTATTTTACCAAAGTTCTGATTAACAGAATAAAGAATATTTATAAGATCAATAATATTTTCAGAAAACTCAACTATGCAGGATTACTAGGAGAAAGTATGACAAAACCAATCCAAATTCTAAATAATATCTATGAAAATGTTAGAGAAAACAAAAAATAGCTATTGATATTGTTTAAAGACATAGCCAAAGCTTATAATACTATTATATAAAACAAAAAATTAATGGTATTTTTTTTAAAAATTTAAAAATTATTTGAATTATCTTCATTTTAAAAAAATTAGCAATTTCAGTGTTACTAGTTATTAAATTTAATTTAGCTGGATGAGTTTTTTGAGATGTTTTATAAGATTAGAAGTGCAGCCTTCACTACAAATATATATTGTTCTACAATATTTACAAGTAGCCTTTTTGTCCTCTTTAAAACTTATACTTCTTATAAAGTGTTTCTATACTTTACTTCTAGAAATTGTTGAGGTAACTGAAGCTAATTCTGATAAATTGTTTATATTGGAATTTTCAATTTTGATATTGTCATAACTAGTTAAACTGCTACTTTCATCGTATACAAATTGAATACTATCAAATGAGTTTTTATATTTCATTTTTAAAAGAAATAAATTATCAAAAGCAAAGAATATGATGAATGTAATTAAGCAGTAAAACTATAATATTATAAAGAAAAGTTTAAAAAATTATAAAAAAGTACAAGTATTGGATTTTTTTTAACTTGCCTTTTATATTATTATTAAAAAAAACATATTATTTTAATTTCTATATAGTTCAATTTAAATGAAATTAAATAATTTATATTACCTAGTTTATATTTGATTTGAATTATATTGAATTTGATCTGAATCCAATTTAAATCTGATAATTTTGTAAATTTAAAATTCAATTCGATTTGAATTTGATTAGATTAAAAATTTTAAAATTTGATTCAATTTGATTCATATCTGATTCAGATCAAAATTGTAATTATTACTATTCACACAGAACAAAATGACTAATAGTGGATTTCAGGTTCTTATGTAGCTTTTTAATCTTGTTATATAACTCCTAATATTTTCTAACAGTCATATTTAGTTAAAGAAATTTTACTGATATTTATCTTAATTACTATATTATTATATAATATTTGGGAAAATGTATTCTCAATCCTAAAGAAAGGTAGTATTTTATATTTTTCTACTTTTCAGTCTTATAGCTTAACTAAAATAAGGAAATAACCTTCTTTATATACTTTATCTAACTAAGATAATAAGAAGTTGAAGATTTTAGTTTGAACAAATAATCATTTTTTTATTATTTAATGAATTTAATGTTTATTTTAATGATTTTATGATTTCTTTGCTTTAATTATATTTTATTTGGAAAAGTGAAGGACTTGTATTAATGATTTCATTTTCTTTTGCTATAATATCATTGGAATATATGATGTAGTCAGTTAGAGCTTGTTTATATTCAACTATTAATATGTTTTATATCAATAAATTTCTTTTAACAAAAGTTATGTCAATTTTGTATTATTTCAAAATTTAAAATCAAACTGAGATAAGTAAAATTCTCTCAAAACTTTGAAAAATAAGTAATCCTAAGAAAGTAGAAATAGTGAAAAGGAAAGTTTTATAGTTTAGGCTTTTGTTTATTTATCCATCCACTATATAAGATCTTTAGTTGTACTCTTATTTCAAGAAATAGGCTTTTGATACTTTATTATTGATTTTTTTTCCTTTTAAAACTTTCTTGTCATAGGTAAAAAAGATATTTTTGACTTTTTTTGATTATCAGAAGTCAAGTTTTTGTTTGAAAAGAAATATAAACAAAAAAAAAAAAAATTGGAAAGAATTCTTGAAATTATTTTTTAAGTTGTTTTAAGGAAAGTAATAAGACTTTATTAGTAAAAAAGTATAAAACTTTTTATAAAAATCTTTTTTGTATATTGTTAAGAAATTAGTGGAAGAGTTTTGTATATACTATCAATTAATCAGTTCTATCTAAAACTAATAATAATAAAATAATTAGTCAATAGATTCTAAATTAATTTCAATAGATAGTATATAATATTTTATTAAATTAATTAAATATATTTTGTAAAGATTTCAAATATTTTATAAATCAATTAAACATTAACGAATTAGATATTAGATTATTAATTTCTTGAAAATCAAAAAATATTTTTAAAGATATTTCAAAAACTCAATATCTTAACTTATAAATCTAAAACAATTATTAATTTCTTTATTAATATTAGATAAAAATCACTTATTCAAATACTAAAGAGAAATATTTATCTAATTGTCTCTAAATATGATCTTCTCTTAATAAAGCATAATGGCAAATATATAAAAAAAATTACTTTATTAAAACTAATAAACAAGACCAATGTTGTAAAAAAAAAAAATAATAATATGATTGTAAATTAAAAATAAAATAATTATTATTTAAAAAAAATCAATATACAGTAAAGAATTAAAATTAATTTATATAATATACAATATTAATAATATATACTAAAAGTTTTAATATTGTGTACACATTCGCATATTTGTTATTTACAGTTTAATAATTCTATATTTGTTGAAAGGCACAATAGCAGAACTCATTGTGATTGTCATTTTGTGCGGAAATGTGTTGCGTGCACGCACGTACCTGTGCGTTTTTGTGCGCATACTTGTAAGCTTGGCTCATGGTGAAATAAAAATTTCAAGTTTGAATATAACTCCTTTAGGTATTCATAAGACCAAAAATGCGACAATTTGAAACCTCGGACTTTATCTTGGGCTGACCGCGTATTAGAAGATGGTGGCTAACCAACACGAGAAAATTCCTTGTTCGATGTTTTTTTTTTATTCTAAACTGCAAAAGGATACGCAATTCCATTTAAGCCGTTATTACATGATGAGTTTCTATTTACGTTGTGTTGTAATAGAGCGAATCGAGAAATATTAAAATGCACAAAGCAAGATCCACGATTGTTACACGAGTACCAAAGAGTCAACCCATACGACATGGATTTATCGAGTTGCCTGTGCGACAATTACATTAAAGAATTAACATATTCATTCTTCGAACAATATGGTGTTACACGCACAGCTCCTTAGCATTTACAGAACCGATTAATCATGAATTTATTATTGCATTATTAATAATTAAACATAAGCCAGGGAATAATCAATAAACCTAGCATTTAATGACTCGAATGTGGTTTATCTTAGGTGAAGTGGTGATCAGGATTGTTTTCCTTCTGTGTATCACTGATCGAGGTGGGATACCACAAAATAAATATCTTCTTTCTTTTTTTGAGGCTCGCCATAGTTGGGATGGATGGCGGTGCGGATTTGGGCACACACCTACCTTGAATGGAAGCCCTTGCTGCCTATGGATTTCCAAACACCTGAAGCTTTCATCGGTGAATATTTTTTTTTCTGGCTTCGTCATTCCCAGTCATTCACAAACATTCAACAACAACCACTATCATCATTGAAACTGAATGTGTGGGAAAGTGGGATTATTTGTATTTATGGTATTTTGAACGATGGCAGAAGAATCTTGAACAGTTAATGATTCAGGGAAAGAAGTCTGAGTGGATTGGAATCCCGGTGCCGTAGAAAATCTTCTAAAAGGGTTACTATCTACAGGTATGCTCGAGTATGGGGTGGTTTCGGAAGTGAGAGGTTGATAGAGTTGCTGTTGACCTACTGGAAGAAACGGATTCGTTCCATCAGAGGTTGATAGTGATGATTGGAATGGATTGTATTGTCCAACCGTTGTACCTTGGGAAAAGATTGATGAACGAAATGGGTTGGTATCCTGCACAGGTGATGAAATATGTGGTGACAATGTGTATTGGTTTATTTGAGGTGCTACAGGATATTCGTTTGTCTGATTCCGAAAGATTAGAAATGGATTAGTAACACTTTGATCCATAAAACTCTGAGCGACATAAGGATTATGGTATTGGTCGCCAAATATTGTTATTTGCTCTTGCTCGATGCTCGCAAAAAAATCAAAATTCGTTCCCTTTGGTGTTTTGGTTTCGGTGGATTTCGTCGTGCCTGTTGGATCAAGTTCAGAATAAGTAAAAGAGGAACTCAGCGTAGATCTCACTATTGGAAATAAAATAAAATCAAATGAATGAATAAATTTCTTATACGATTCCCTACATTGATCTTTCTGATGTACATTTTCGGAGGGATTAGACGAATCGTCAGCTTTTTTTTTCGGATTCTTGTTCCGTTCCTCTTTCGAATGACGATATTGTTCTCTGTTAATTTCAAAATCCGGGTCATTGAAATAATCCTCGAGAGTATTCGTGAGCGATACGTTTGCCTATTAATTAATTAATTATACATTGGTTTAATAAGGAATTAAGAAATTTGATTAAGAGAGTAGATGAAGTAATTCTCCTGTATAAACTTACATGTTTTAAATTAGGTATTTTCATTGCGAGTCGATCCCTGGCTATTGAAAAGAATTCAACTACTCTTGCAGTTTGCTTAACAAATGTCTTGTAAATCTGTAAAGCGGTGTTGGCATCCACCTTTGACATTTCCATAAAATATTCTAAATCCCAATGAAAGCGCGTCGTAAGTCGATGAAATCAAGGTGATATGAGTGAAATGTGAAGTATAGTGATGACTACCTAGAACGTTAATCACTCCTTCATTAATCGCCTGAAAAAGATCAAACAGGTCATGAACAATGAGTTTGAACGCACATATGGTTACTTCATTGGACTGGTCACCACACAAGGACTGTGTCAAATGTAATTTTGATTAATGTCTCGAAGAAACATGGCACGCCATTGCGACAGAACATTTATTAATTGCCAACCTTGCAATTCAATAAAGCGCCCAGTTGCTTTTGCACCAATTTGACCTCACGAAGGAGGCCCTTTGCAACGGTGAGATTTCGCAAGCGACTGACGCCAGATCTGGTCGTAGCGTAATCCACCTTCAGATCTCGGTAAACTGACACGCTTTCTCCCAGGTATGCGGCGTACGCGCGAATGTTTTTAGTTTGCTCAAAATCTAGGATACACAGTGAACATTTGTTTGGGTGAGGGTATGCGTGAATTCAAAAAATTATTTACTAACCATGAAACCCCGAGACGTTCAAAATGGACGACTCTTTCGCCAAAGCTTTTAGGACACGATTGGAGGCACCTTCCTTCATGAGGATATGAATTACGATTAGGCTTTTGAAAACTACCTTTTAAAAGTGGGAAGCTTGGTGAGAGAAAGAATAGGCGAAGATCAAAGAAAATCAGTTGATAATTTCAACTAACTGTCCATGGTTGTTCCCGTAATCTTTGATTGAGGCACCTCAAGATTATCTCGAGATTCCTTTCGTTTGAAGTGGCAGGAATGAGAACTAGGAAATCATATTTTTTTTTTTTTTTCAAGATGGATGAATAATCGCACGAGGTAGGCTTAGATTAAAATAACCGGTGACTATACCCTGCACATATTTTGGTTTTGGGGGAGCGCGTTTAGGTTTGGTTGCTCCACGAACGGCTTTTTCCATTCTCTCTCTTGTCTAGATCTTGTTTACTCAGAGGTTGGGATAAATTTTTTTTTAATTAAAAATTGACGGTACCACCACGATCACGTGACACGTGATTGCCACCCAGCACTGGGGATTAGGTTAAAACAACTCTTCACTGCGATTCCTTCTGTCGAATCGAAAGGAAATTTTGATTGCTCGTTTTCCCAAGTATCCCTTCCGGGAGAAAGGCCGTAGTGGAAATATACATAGATATATATATATATAGTATATAAATAAATTTTTTTCTGCGATAATAAATTTTTCATGAAGTGGAACTTCACTGAAACGCCCATAACCCAATTAGCAGTATATGTGAAAATATATTTTTCCTAGTAAGACCACATGTCTAACACAATGAACTCATGGTGGTCATCTATACTTTCACAATCTATACCATAATTTGAGTAAAAAACACTGGGTGGTGATTGACTGCCGATGTTTGCTTAATGGAATGGGGAATGTACCTCAGTTTTTGATTCGACAAGCATGCTCCATGGGTCTTCAATCAACAAAAATACGCTAGCGCTGTGAATTTCTCCCCCCTTTAGCTCATCACTGGGCATTTTTAATTTAAGTTTTAAGATATTTCGGAGACGAAATTTATTTCTCATTTAAAATAGAACTACTCTAGTCATCGTTTCGTCTTTATCACCGTATCCTCTCAAAGTTCGCTTGAACCCTACACACTGGTTTCTGGAATTTCAAGTTGGTTCCAACCTGACACTTATTGATATTTGTACTTTTTTCTCTTCCATTTTTTTTATTTCTTTTCTTTTCTTTTTTTTTTTCTTTTGTCCTTTGCAAAGAAGCTTTTCCTTTTCTTTTTTGTTCTCCTCTGCTCATCGTTATTTAAACCAAAAGTAAAAATATTCTTGCGTTCCTGGCAATAGAAGTTGTTTTATTTTTTTTTCACCATTTCATTTCATTTTTTTTTTTATATTATTATTATTCTTTTTTTTTTTTTTTTTTTTTAACTTCTTTCAAAAGTAATAAAACCCAACGACGGAATCTTAAAAGAGCAACGTCGGCGATTCCGTTCTAGGACCTTAGACACGTTATATATTACAATAGGTGATGTCGTCAACTCAAGCAATTCACTTACCGAGTCCGCACCAAATCTTGAATGAAAACTACGAGCAAACATCGTCCACCAATTCTCTGGCTTATCACAACAACGGGTCTGGTACCTCAACTATTTTTACCAATGCAAACAACAACCACACGACAACCCAGAGTAAGTATCAAAAATTATTAACATTCCCTCCTTTGTTTTCTGGCGATCGTGTTAAATTGAAGTAGGTGTATTAAAAGAGGAGCATGAATTTCATCCGGTGTCTTTCCTGAAGTACGAGTAAGAGCAGGAAGGCGGGAACTACCTAATATAGCAACATTCAATTTAGAATTATGGTTTATTGCCAATCAAAATTAACGATTGTTGGTTAACACGTCCATTCTAATCAATCAATCATCTAAATGTCAAGACCCTCAATACATAGTGCCTAAGCCCGCCCTAAATCGACCTCATTCACCATCCCCTTTGTCGATTGAATCTCCGATTAAGGAGTCCAAATATTCATTTCCTAATTCAACTCCGGTTCGTGATTCAAAATCAATGTCACTTAAATCATCATCCGCCGATCAAAATATGTCTTCTCCAAGTTCCGAACCATTCTCATCGCGTTCCCTTGCACCACTTGAGCCTCAGCACCCCGCCATACCACCTTACTTGACCGCTCAGCGGCGAGGTTCCATCACCGATCCATCACTCCACATGTCTGTTCCAAATCCGGAACTGGCGAGGCAATATTCTCAACCTGATGTCAACTTTCCTTCAAGTTCCGGAACGATTTCATCCGAACGTAGAGGTTCATTTGTGACAGATCCATATCCACCTTCACCCTCCTCTCGCTCTTCCTCAGTTAAGAGTGACCACTCTTTCACCCCTCTGGAGACGCGCAAACCGAGGGATTCTTTGCCATCCATTAGCGCTGGTGCGAGTCCAATCAGGGACGGCTTCCCGGGTCCGTTGATTAATCCCGCGTTTCAGGCTCAACTGCAGCCGCGACGACACTCGATCGCCGTCGGTGAGGTTGTCGCACCTCTCAAACGAAAGGGTAACATCGTTCCCAGCCATCCCATAGTTCCCGACGATAATTCGGTCAAACGAAGAGAATTCGGTGGTGATCCGAACATACAACGACTGTCGTTGCACGATCGTCGAAATTCCTACTCGGCTCCCTCCAGTCCACCTGCGCCGCCACCCTCCTCCCACATCTCATCGAGTAGCTCGTCAAAACTCAACGTCCAAGATGTGAACAACAGTTTACAAGCTCACGCCGAATCATGCCCATATAACGACGATCATCCGGTGACCAACAGTATTTCGACTGGTCACCTTTCCGAACCAAACGTCTACCCACCCTTCAACAATCCGCGATTGTCGCAAATTGTTCAAGAGGAGGTTAGCGCTCCAATATTGTCTCGACGTGCTTCCATGCCTGTCATGAACTTCCCATCACGCTATTCGGATCCCGCTCAACAAGATGGTGCCGTGCCGATGGACGTTGATCGTTATCGTACCCAAGTTTACTCAAACCACCATCACGCCTATCACCCTTATGCCTACGATTATCCGAATTACATTCAGTCGCAGACGCCCGTAAAAGAAACTCCTTACTCTCGTTCTCCCGAGTTAAGGATATCCCATAAGCTGGCCGAGCGGAAGAGAAGAAAAGAGATGAAGGAGCTCTTCGATGAACTCAGGGATTCACTACCGGTGGACAAGAGCCTGAAGACGAGCAAATGGGAAATATTGAGCAAAGGTGAGTATTTGCTGTCACTTGATTTTCCACAGTCGCACCTCTTTCGCACACACCCTTAACTGTCACATCTCCCAACAGCCGTTGAGTTCATTAATAACCTGAAGCACAATCAGGACGAAATGACCAAAGAAGTCGAATCGTTAAGACAACAGCTTGCCGCTTTTAAGGGGTGTAGTAGCAGGTAAGCATTGGGAAGTTGGATGTTTGAAAAAGTGTCCGACGCTTGGACTTGTATTCATCGTGTTTTCCAATACCACTGAAAGCAGTGATACTGCCACGGCATCGACGTCTTCGTGAGAACCTATCACACGCACACATCATTATCTCGGAAAAGTACAAAAAAAAAAAAAAAAGAAAAAAAAAAAAAAGAAAAAAAGAAAAAAAAAAAAAGAAAAAAACAAAATCAAAAAAAATCATCTTTGTATTTTATGTTCTCTGGGAGCAGATATGACGGATGAGAAAATTTATGATTTTCGCTTTATCATTCATTGTCCGCGCATCATGTACCTATTTTTGTATTATATTGAAGGAAAGAAAAAAAAATTCCCCTTTTCACTTTTTGTACATTTTCCTTATATACCTCCTCTTTCACCTTGTCCCTTTTTCCTTTCTTACCACGTTAGTAAATATTTTTCTTTTTCTTTTTTTTCTTTTTTTTTTTTTTTTGTCATCCCCAACATCCCATACCTCACACTACGTTGTCCAAAACCAAAAAAAAAAATTAGATGACATATAAGGATTATTT